CATCACATCGGTACCGTTATTCAAAACCAGGACACTATTTATGTGCTGCTTGTTACCATAAACAGCATAAAATAAAGAAATCAACTAAAAATACGAAGGCAGACGGTTGATTTTGCTTTAAAATTTAGTTCACTTTGATTTTATAGATAGAAGTTGAAAGCGGCTAAAATTTGGTGAAATCGGAATACACCCAACTATGAATGGATAAAAATGAGTGTAAAATAATATAATCTTGTTATTAGATTTCAATTATATTTTTTAATTTCTGACTTTTTTGCTATATTTAACAAATTTCCCTTCTCGTTTCGGGAGTACAGGGTACGCTTTGTTTTACGCTTTTTTTGCCATAACTTTCTTCAAAGTGAATGAAAATTGCTAATTCTTTTTTTATTTTATTCCCAACACTCTAAGCAATTTTTGGTACCAAAATATTCCCTAAATTTTGGAAATTAATTTTTTTGTTTTTTTAAAGTTCTGGAAAAAATTTTTGGACCAGAAGTCGTTTAATTTAAAGGCTATGTGTTTGATATGTGAGAAGTTTATATCTTTCGAATAAACTCTTCAAGCTGATTCGAATGACGTCAAAACAAAGTGATTATCTTGTTTTTGAGCTGAGATATGGGTCTTTGAATGATAGATTAGAAACTTGATGTTAAATTTCACTTTTTTAGGTGAAATTTTCAAAATTCCATTCATAGACTATTTCGATGTTCCTCGTCGAGACGAGTCGATTGGTACCTAAATTATTAATATTGGATGACATTGAGCGAAGTTATGGCAAAGTAAACTTTGTCATAAAAAATATTTTTTAATGCGTTTGATATTCAGACGGCTACCCGACACTTGAGGATATGACTTTTGAGGATCAGAGAACGGTGGTCCTAGGGATCTGAAGCCGTGATGATTAAATGCCCATGATTTACTTGATCTTGATTATCTAAATGGATAACTGTGGAAATGCTAGAGCTAATACATGCACTAAAGCTTTGTCCTTACGGAAAAGCGCATTTATTAGAACAAAACCACGTGGCTTCGGCTGCTTCATGTTGACTCAGAATAACTAAGCTGACCGCATGGCCTTGTGCCGGCGGCGTGTCTTTCAAGCGTCCACTTTATCAACTTGACGGGAGCATAATCGACTCCCGAGGTGATGACGGATAACGGAGGATCAGGGTTCGACTCCGGAGAAGGGTCTGAGAAATGGCCACTACGTCTAAGGATGGCAGCAGGCGCGCAAATTAGCTCATAGATTTGGATTTAATTTAAATAAATTTTTTCTTCTTTTAAATTGTGTTTTTAATTCTTGGGGGTTTTTAAACCGGGTAGGATTCAACCAAACAGATTGCCATCCGTCACATTAAAATTGGAACCCCGTACGGGTCCCAGAGTACCCGTTTCTTCAATCATCTAGCCGTGATGATTGAAGAAACGGGTACTCTGGGACCCGTACGGGGTTCCAATTTTAATGTGCCGGATGGCAATCTGTTTGGTTGAATCCTACCCGGTTTAAAAACCCCCAAGAATTAAAAACACAATTTAAAAGAAGAAAAAATTTATTTAAATTAAATCCAAATATATGAGCTTGGCTGGCGCTAGGTTGATTGAAAGAAGAATAAGTGAAGTTATGAATGAATTAAAGTTTTAGGGGTAAAGCGACAGCCGAGAAAAAATAAAAATAGGCGGAGTTTTAACAATTTTAAAGTAGGGGCCAAGAAAAATCAAAAAATCTTTCCAGGCCAAACTAAATATAATCTACGTTTTTTAAATGTTGTTGGACAGTTAGATAGGGGGCAATATTATTTAATTCTACTCGAATAAAAATTATATATTTAAATACTTTAATTGGACATCATATCACATAATTGATTTAATCCATATGATCTAGCAGTAAAGTTAACAGTAAACGACTTTTTAGTCGTTTACTGTTAACTTTTACATAGTTTTATAATTTGTTCAATAAACTCAGAAAATTTTAAAAATCATAATCATTTAAACACTATTTATTCAATTCCTGTTCTGTTTGGTATTTATTTGTTTTCTTATTTATTCTTTGTTGTCTTTTGTAACATGTATTACATATATGTTTTTTAGGTTTTGAATGACGGTACCATTGTGATGTTTTTGTTGCTCCGCAAGTAAAACATTTTCGATCTTTCGTAATTGGCTGAAAAATTTATAAAAATAGGAATTGAACTAGTTCTCAGATAAAATTTTTGAAGCTATTTTTCAAATTTTTGACGAAATGATTTTGTCAGGTTTGCTTCTATTAATAACTAACGTGAACATTTTTTATGAGTTTCGGGTTCACACAAACGGTAAAATGAATGTTTTTGTCTATATTAAAAAACATTGAAATCCATATACATAATTAAGATTCCTAATTTATAAGATCTCATATACTTTTATCTAAACATTCTTAATTATAATACGAATAAAGCTAAACAATTTAGTCTGATCCAATCAACCAATATCCCGCAATACTCCGATATCAATCAAAAAAATCATGGAATTCAACTGGTTCAGTTTAAAACAAGAATGTGATTACGACACTTATCCTTTATAAAATCAAGGGAATCCGATCTTAACGATGTCTAATGATAGCAAACCTTTTCTGTCTTAATAAACAAGCTTTTATTTCTAAGCTTTCCAAATTTTTTGTTATAATCACCACAAGTATGACACAAATAGTGTTCTTTGAGATATTTATGCCACGGAGTTTTAATTTGTTTAACACCACAATTGAAACAATCTCGCTCCTTCTTTTCAATAGTTAATCCTATAAGATCAAAATAAATTGTTATTTGCTAGAGATGTTTTCAGCTTGATATGACAGCGGGCATATCTTTTCTATTAACATAAAATTTTTTACTTATTTTATTTCCGATTTCAATAATTCTGCTTTCGAATTCTTTCGGATATTCAAATTTTTGTTTTTCTAACAAATCAAATTTATATGCAATTAAATTAATTTCCGTCCAATAACTTGATAAAAGTTTGTCTTTGTAATTTTCTATAGTTTGTTTTGATAATTCTTTTTTATTTATTTTTGTATTTTCTAAACTCACATATAATATCGAAGTTTTATAACAATTACCATTTTCAATAAAATTACAATTTCGTAGTAACTTAAATTTAACACAAATTAGAGTTATTATAAGGCCGATTTCTATTTTATTGCTGTTAATTTTTTGTTTGGTATCTAGTTGTGACTATAACAAATAAGAAATGGAAATTCTATTAATAAAAATATACCATTTTTTCAAACCCAGGCAGAAAATTTTGAATTATTTCATTATTAGTAATTTCAATCAAAATTTTCTTTGTTAATTGATCAGATGGAATATATTTTGGATTATCACTTATTTCAACTTCAAACACATTTTTATCTAGATTTAAATAAATTGAACGCAAATATCCTTCTATATTTTTATTAAAACCATCATGTTGATTATTTTTCTTTTCAACTACCCTCACCACAAAACGATCCTTTATTTCAAAATTTTTTAAATAGATAAATTCTCTTTTTTCTTTCCAATCATCACTAATTTTCACTTCCACACTAATAATTCTCCCTAAACACCGAATTTTCAAAAGAATAAATAAATATATGAAAATTATATAATTAAATTTAATCATCTGAAATTTGAAAATTAAAGCTGATTTTTTGTTGCGGACCCATAAATGAGGACCGAACTAACGGTCCGTCAGTTGGGGACCCGAATGAATTTTAAAAAAATTATGTAAAAGACCTCTTTATTTAAAAAACCACCTCCTACAAATTTTTTACATCTGATTTGGCATTTTTTTATTAAGCGGTAAAATAATAAATTTTCCCGCTTTTATTAAGCGGGAAAATAAATAAAATAGGACAAATTTTGAAATTTTTGTTTACCAAAAAATTACAAAGTACATATGATTAAATTCAAAAGAATCTGATCTTTGAATGTAATTGTACTTTTATGTACAATTTTATGTACGAATTTTTACCCTTGTCACGTGTCAAATTCACTTAATGTTTGTGTTATTCTAAAAGAATAGTGTAAAGCATATAGCTATTCAATTCATAAATTATTGAAGGAAGCGGTTGATTATGTAACACATCATTCCGGGGAAATTAAAAAAATTAGCTAAAGGGGAAACAATTAGCCCATTTCATCTTAATTATATTTGAAGTAATTTAACTACTTAAAAATCATTTTTATTCTTATATTAAGCGTCACCATAGGGTATACATATTCTAAGGATCTTAGAATAAAAAATTCTACTTTCATTGTTTTGAATATTTTCATTTTAATTTAAATCGAGGCCTTATAAATATCATGTCGGGATTCCGATCCTCTCAAGGTTAAAGAGCAAAGAGGAATTGCCAAATACTTATTTTCTCTACTCTATGCTAAAAATGTCAATACGGACGTGTTAAGTATACTCGTAATTTTTCACTCACTATTTCTAAACTCCTCCTCTTACAAGGCTCCATTTAAAAGTCAGTCAGGACTGCCAATTAATTCATATACATCTTAAATTTATTACCATTTCAAGTCGTTTTTCTAATTGTTTGCCGTTGAGTTTTGCTGAATTAAGGATTTTGGATAAAATTTGTATTTTAAATTTTTTTTTCAAGAATATATACTGAAATGACCTGCCCTATATGTTATCCTAATCTTGTTCTCCCGACCTTTGTGACTCCCGGCCTTTTCGTTGGGTCCTGATTTTTTCATAACCAGAACAGATGCAAATCAATTTGTAGACTCATTTCGGTTCCAACTGACGGAATGTCGGTCCTCATGTATGGCTCCGACAAAAGTCGGCTAACCAAGTTGTTTTATTTGAAAATGATTAAAAAAATATTAAAGTTTGCCATTTTCTAACGAATAAACAAAAAAAGCAGCTTTAGTTTTATAAATTTCAGTTGATTAAATTTAATTATATAATTTTCATATATTTATTTATTTTATTGAATATCCAATGCGTGGGAAGAAAAATATGTGTTGATTTAAAAATCAAAGATGACTGGGAAGAAAAAAGAGAATTTATTTATTTAAAAAATGTTGAACTGAAGGAGCGTTTTGTTGTGAAAGTAATTGAAATGACAATATATAATAAAAACATAGAAGGGTATTTGCGTCCAATTGACTTAAATCTAGATAAAAATATGTTTGAAGTTGAAATAAGTGATAGATCAGAATATATTCCATCTGATCAATTAAAAAAGAAAATTTTGATTGAACTTAGTAATAACGAAATAATTCAAAATTTTCTGCCTGGGTTTAAAAAAATGGTATATTTTTATTAATAGAATTTCCATTGCTTATTTGTTAGTGTCACAACTAAATAGCAAATAAAAATTAACAGCAAGGAAATGGATATCGGCCGTTATAATTACTCTAATTTGTGTTAAACTTAAGGTACTCCGAAATAGTAAATTTAGTGAAAATGATAATTGTTATGAAACTTCAATATTGTATAAATGTGAAAAGAATAATAATTTTAACTTAATTGGAAATAATATAGAATCCTATAAAAACAAACTTTTATCAAGTTATTGGTCGGAAATTAATTTAATTGGATATAAAATTGAATTGTTAAAAAAACAAAAAGTTGAATATCCGAAAGAATTAGAAAGAAGAATTATTTACATCTGCACTGAAATAAGTAAATAAAAATTTTATGAAATTTGACAAGATAAGGATATCCCTGTTGTCATATCAAGCTAATAACATCTCTATTTAATTACGATTTATTTTAATTTTATAGGTGTAATTATTGAAAAGAAGAAGCGAGATTGCCTCAATTGTGGTGTTAAACAAATTAAAACTTTTTGGCAGAAATATCTAAAATACACTATTTGTGTCATACTTGTGGTGATTATAATAAAAAATTTGGAAAGCATAGACATAAAAGCTTGTTTATTAAAACTAAAAAGGTTTGCTATTATTTACTATTAGTAAAATCGCACACACTGATTTCATAACGAAAAAATGTCTAAACTCATTCCTTATTCACATGAACCATCAGAATTCCTCGATTATTTAGATATAGGAGATATCCGTACTCCCGTACGGATATCTCCTATAACCACGTACTCACGTCATCTCTCAAGATAAAATGGCAGAAACAATGTTTTGATGCATTTTAGATCATGACAAATTTGCAAGAATTGTATTTGCATAAAACTCTTATCGATAATAATAAATCTTCGTTAACTCAATTTATGACCCCTCTGCATTTCCCTTTCGAATCATAAATCGAAAAGTCATTCTTAATAGTGATGTGCTAACAAAAATTTTTTAAGGAGGATACTCTAAAATACTCTAAAATATTTTTCTTGAAAGCAGGGCGTTAGGTGCAGCAGTATATTTGAGAGTCAAGAAAAAGGACAGATTTCACGCAAAACTAGTTTTCGGGAAAAGTCTGGTAATCCCTACAAACATGAACTAGTCCAAGTCTGTAGCTGCATGCTACCATGTTAGGATGCAAGTATGCTTTGTTTATTAGGAAACAACTAGAGAAAGAAGTTCCAATAGAAAAGGTACAAGTATGGACGGACTCAGCGGATGTCTAAGTTTTTTGTTGAGTGAAAAGCGCTTACATCGCTTCGTCAAAAATAGGATAAATAAAATTAGTGAATTTGCAGTGACGCATATAGCAGGTGAAAATAATCCTGCGGATTTAGCCTATCGAGGAGCTACCCCCAGGGATATTAAAACCATTATTTTCAAAAAAATTTTCTTCTTCAGGATCTGTTGTTTCTGATTGATGAATAGGTTCTGGCACGATTGAAGAATTGGTCATGAAGCTTCTAATTGCATTCATTATTAGATCTTTCTGATCAATTTGTGGCTCTAATCTAACCGTATCAACTGAGCTCCCACAACCGTAGATACATTTGGAAGTTTTGCACCCTTAATTTCCGTATTTAAATATTTTATAAAATTATAAGCACGGTCTTTTGGCATATTGAAGCGCCTTCACTTTCCAATTGTTGAGTGATAGACTAGCGATAAATTAACCTCCGGAGAAATTAACCTACAGTGATTAAATGTGATTAAGAGGGTCATAATATAAATGAAATAATGAAAATAAAAGATTTATTTAACAGTTATATTGGTAACAATTAAAGAATTATGTTTTTCAATGAAATTACATATGTTATATTTTATATAATTTTAGAATTTGTTCAATGAACTCAGAAAATTAAAGTTCGAAAATTATAATATATTAAATACTATTTATTTGATTCCTGTTCTGTTTGATTTTTATTCGTTTTCTTATTTAATCTTTGTCGTTTCTTGTAACAGGTATTACATATATATTTTTCCGGTTTTGAATGACGGTACCACATTGATGTTTTTGATTCTCCGCAAGTAAAACATTTTCGATCATTTGTGATTCGCTAAAATAGTTATAAAAATATGAGTTGAAACTAGTTCTCAGAGAATAATATTTAAACATTTCTTATACTATCAAAGAATTGATATTGTCTAAGGTTGCTTCACAGCAACATAACCTGCAACTTAGGGCCGTTTCAGTGGCACTGAAATAAATAAAACAATTTTTCTTTTTCTATATCGCTCTATTTTTTTCGCATGCTATTTCTCTAAAGATTTGATGTATAATTTCGAGAAGCTTTATCTCGAAAAAAACTTTGAGAAAAAAATTTCATCTTAGCCAAATCGTTAAAGGGTTGTCTTATCTTTGTTTTAAAACCAAATTCATTTATTTTTAAAATGTTTAAAAAAAGATACATATGGTTTTATAAGTAAATTTAAAAAATGAAAAATAAAGGAAAAATTGTTTTGAAAAAATTTATTTTAATTTAAAATGACATTAAATGTATTATTAGGATTTCCTTATTTCATTTTCACTGAAAGGGTTCGAACCTCTTGCATTTTCGCTGTCACTAACCAACTAAAACATACTCACGCACTGAAAGGCAGGTTGACTCTCTGCCTGTTTTATGTTGCTGTGTGCTTCTAACTAATTTCATTTTTTATGTTTAAATTTACCACAAAGGCAAAAGTAATGTTCTCTTAGATTTTAGAAAAATATTAAAATCCATAAACATAAATAAGATCCCTAATAATGTGTAAATGAATAAATATAGAACATTATAGTTCATACAAACTTACTTCACGTCGCATTTTGCCATTAATTATTTTATACTTGTTACAAGTATTACACAAGTAATGTTCTTTTATGTATCTATACCATGTTATGGTAAGTGTAATTTTACAGTTAAAACAGTTTCGTTTATTTTCTTCAATTATTCCTTCTAAAATAATAAAAAATAATATCTATATTTTTAGGCACACAGTGTGGAAATTTAAATAGGGAAAAATATAAAAAATAAAAAAACGATTTACTTATTTTATTCCCAATCTCAATAATTCTGCTTTTTAATTCTCCTTTCGGATTTTCTAATTTTTGTTTTCCTAACAATTCAATTTTATATCCAATTAAATTAATTTCCTTCCAATAAGTTGATGAAAGTTCGTCTTTATAAGATTCAAAATTTTCTTCAACTAAGCTAAGTTTAGTGTTATTTTTTAAATTATTATCTAATATTGATGTTTCAAAACGATTATCATTCATTTCAATAAAATTATTCTTTCGGAGTATCTTAAATTTATGATCAATTGTGAATAGATATGATACCTTTTGGGATCGGATTTTTGGTTTTAAAAACATTGGCCTCATTATGTTTTGTATAAGCTGAAATTATTTTCACTCTTGTACAATAAGGTTGCCTCTTCGCAAATCAGTTGGATTTCCGGTATATCTTTAAAACCATTCCACTTAATTTTTCGATATCTCCCCAAACCCTCGTGATATACATCTTTCTTTATTGTATACACAAATCCCATGACGGCCAAGTCAAGCAAAAGAAAGGACTGCTGAGAGACTTAGTTGTAATGCGGATTCATGTATGTAAATGCGATTTATAGGTGTTTGAGAGGGGTAGTGAGTCACCAAATTCCATTTTAACGTAATAAAACAGTTGATCTCTATAATTCCCCAAATACACTCAATCCTAAAATATCCCAAGATAATATCCGAAGATTTACAACTATCGACAACCTAATTGTACAATATTTAATTTCATAACAATTAATATTTTCAATAAATTTATATTCGGAGTACCTTAATTTTAACACAAATTAGAATAGTTATGGAAGCCGATTTCCTTTTCTTTCTTTTACTTTTTTTTTGCTAGTTGTGGAATGAAAATTCAATTAATAAAAATATACCATTTTTTCAAACCCATGCAGAAAATTTTGAAATATTTCATTAGTAGTAATTTCAATCAAAATTTTCCTTCTTAATTGATCAGATGGAATATATTCTGATCTATCACTTATTTCAACTTCAAACATATTTTTATCTTGGTTAAATTCAATTGCACGTAAATATCCATCTATGTTTCTATTAAAGCCATCATATCGGTTATTTGTCTTTTCAATTACTTTCAACACAAAACGATCCTTTATTTCAACATTCTTTAAATAGACAAATTCTCTTTTTTCTTTCCAATCATCTTTGATTTTCACGTCAACATGAACGAGTTTCCCATAGCATTGAATTTTCAAAAATATAATTAAATATATGATAATGATAAAATTCAATTTAATCATCTGAAATTTAGACAATATATTTAAACATGGTCGGTAACATGAAATGTGATTTATTGATGTTTATCATTAAAAATAAATATGTTCGATAAATTTTGAAATGTCTATACTGTTGTATTAATGAAAAATTAAAATAATTAAACAATTTTTAAAGAATCTGTTTGTTGAACTTCTACTTTTAACCACTTCAACTTACTACCACACAAATCGACTTGCTTCCCCTCAAAAAATAATTCAACCAAATTCTGCCCGAACTGGGAAATTGAAAACTGCCTAAGAGTAAATAACTTGCAATAACTTGCTCAAACAAACAGATTCTTAAAAATTGTCTAATTATTTTAATATATTTCATTATTACAACATCAAGGGTTGTCGGTTCCTGAAAATTCTTCGGATATCTGGAACCGAACCGAAATTTTCGGATATCCGGATCCAAACCGATATCCCAACCGAAAAATCATCGTTTCTTCGGTTCGGTTCGGTCCAGAACCTACAACCCTAATTAAAATTTAAGATGAATAAATTTATTATTATTCTTTTATCATATTTGGTTGTTCTGTTGAAAATCCAAATCAAAGGTAAAATGTTTGAAGTTGGATTAAATATAAAAAATGATTGAAAAGAAAAAAGAGAATTTATTTATTTAAAAAATATTGAAATAAAG